CAATATATATATATATATATATATATCATATGCATTTTATTTCATTTTTATTTTCATTTTTCATTGTTTGAGTTCCATAGATTTGAATGTTACTATGATCTTGTAGTGATATGTGTGATATTAGAATAGATTTGAAACATTAATAATAAATTTCTTTTACTAAACAAAACCAAATTAATTAAGCCTGGTGTCCCAAACCGATTTGACTCAATAATTTGCCTTCACTGTTAATAACTGTGAATTCTATTAAACAGAGGCTATCAAATGTTCTCTTATTTTTGTGTCATTGATATAACTCTGTATTTTATTTGTGTTTCATTAATATAATTGTGAATTCTATCAAACAGGGACTCTATGAATGTGGCATATACAGCATATTTCTTCCCGGAAATGAAGTTCCAGGTTGGTTGGACATAAAAAATAAGGGTTTCTCGAGAGCTTTTCAATCTTCGTCATGCATCTTTGCGAAATGCAATTGAAAGAGCCTTTGGTGTGCTAAAGAAAAGGTTTCCAATTTTAGAAAGTGGGACAGAGCCATATTATGATGTTGACACTCAAGCAAATTTTGTTTTGGCCTGTTGTGTTTTGCACAACTACCTCATGGGTATTGATCCCAATGAAAGTCTTATTGAGGAGGTTGATACAGAGCTTAGAAGAGCACAAGTGCAAACTAACGTGGCTAGATCAAGTTTAGTTGAAGAATGTAGGGAAGGAGAATTGTTAAGGGAACGAATAGCTACTGACATGTGGTGGGATTATGATATAAATCTTCAATGACAATCAAATTATAATATGGATCTTGGAAAACAGACAAGGGTTGGAAGGGTTATTTGATGTTCTTGTTCTTGTTCTTGCGATGTACCCATTATGTACTCATTTGCTTTAATCAATATAATCTTTTTCTTTTGTTGATAAAACAAAAAATTGACAAGTTAATTATTATTATTTGAATGTTATCTTGGAATGAATTATATTTTAATTTGTTATTGTATTATGTGAAACATTGCGTTTGTTTTGGTGATAATTTGCCACTAGCTATGCTCTTCTTCCGATATGTTTTATGGCATTTTTGAGTGTAGGTGGAAGGTGACCAAGAATGCCTAGTAGAAATTGACAAGAAACATTTGAAATGGAATAATCAAATAGATGTTGTCCTTATTGACTCACTCTTGGACCAAATGCTCAAAGGGCGAAAAATTGGTGGTAGTTTTACATCATCTGCTTATAGAGCTGCAAACAATGCGGTGAGTACCAAGTTTAGTGTACATTGTGATTCCAGTCATGTAAGGAATTGGTTGAAGACTTTAAAAAGGAATCTTGCAGTGGCTAAAGATATGTTAACAACTGATATTGGATTCAGATATAATCATTCAACACAATTGATTGAAGCTACAGCAGGTGTATAGGCAGCTTACCTCAATTGTAAGATTGATGTAGTTCTGTACTAGAAAATTAAAATATTTGTTCATCATTATTTAATATAATATTACATATGCTATTCTCTATAGGCAAAGCCTAAAGCTTCTCAATTTCGATATGCTCCGATTCAAAACTTTCAAAAGTTATGTCAACTCTTCGAAAAGGATCGAGCAACTGGGAGTCTTGCTATAGGTCCAAAAGAAAAGCGACTTCATTGGGCTGGGCCACAAATTCTTTTGGATGATGAAAATATTGACCATACAGAGTCACTCTCAGAGAATTATGATGGGATTGGAACTCAAGATGACCAAACTGCTGAAGTATCTTGTTCCTCTAACTCAAAAAAGAGAAAGAATAAATCGGGTGATACTCTGAGTGAGGAAATAAGGTCAATTAAGGATGGTCTAGATGCAATTGCAGCAGCACTTGATTGTGGTAACCTTCAGAACTTCACAAATGGACAATTATTTGAGGAGATTGAGAAGGTTAGTGGCATGAGTGATGCTTCTCGAATGAAGGTGTATCAAGTTCTTGCTAAAGAAGTGAGTGATGCTCTAGCATACCTAGAATGCCCTATTGAACGCCGAGGTCTTTGGTTGTCTGTTAAATTTGGATCTTCAATCTTTGATGCATAGTACTATTTTTCTTTCTTTGGTACTTTTTTATTTGAATATTTCGGGGATTTGGTGAACCTATGAAAATATCATTAGGCTTGGATTTTTTGTATGTAGACTCTCTTAGTTGCTTGTTGCACTCGAATGGTAGATTCAGGGCGTATATGTGCCCTTGAGATTCTAAATGATCTCTGTTGCACTTCTTTATGATATTGTGGATATGAATGCCTTGACTGCTTATCAAGTTCTATTTTAATCATTTTTATGTATGTTCTACTTCTGGATTGTAGTGGTTTCACTCTAGTTTATTGGTTCTAGTTCTGTGCTTATATGGATTATTACACAGGGATTGAGGTGTGGTGTTCTAGTTTTGATGTGCTGCTTTGATGCACTAGTGTTGAGTCTGGTTTGGTGGATGAGCCTGCATTGATATTTTTGAGATTTTGAGATATCTTGACGTTAATGTGCTTAGTTTTTGAAACCTATTTTTGCCCTTTTTAGCTTGAAGTCAACTATCCAATTGTTATCTTCATATTATGTTCTATGTAAGTTGCTATTCAGAAGCTTTATGGTATTTTTTTTTTTGATCAGCAAAAGAGAAAATTTATTGATGAACCAAAAGAGTATTACACCAATAAAGAAAGTGATGAATGCAAAGAGCATCAAAACAAAACAAACCAATCCCAACTAGGTTGGCATCGATAAGTCTGCCCTATCATTTGCTAGCATACCATCAAAGTTGGTGAGAAACCAACGGCAAAACCAATCGAAATAAAAACAAACATAGAAACCAAAACAGAGGACATACAACACAAAACTGCTACTGCTGCTCTACCTATCACACAGATCATCCTACACAGCAATACAAATTCAGTGAGCAATGTGAGAACCCGAATATAAAAATTAAGTAAATAATTAAATAATAATTTTACAAATCTCAAATATTTTATTATGAATCTTTAAGTGCAAATTAAATATTATTGGAGGATCTTTTAATTAATTTTAAACCTAAAATAAATTTATGGTGAAAGTCATTGATTGAGAAGCAAGATTTATTATTAAAAAAAAAAAAATAGAGAAGATGGTGTGACTTGAACTTTAGACCACCAAATTAATAAGTTAGACTCTTACCATTTGAATTGCATGTAACTTATATATGTATTTTGTATATTTATCTATTTATTTGACCTATGTGTGCCCAACACTAGTATAAAATAAAATATATACAAAACCTACAAAACCCTAACTCTCTTATTACTTTACAAAACAACAACAGCCCTTTGGGTTCCTAGCAGTAGCCGTGAGATTTAGTGAGAGAGGCAACAAAGCTGTGGTGAACAGTAAAGAGAGAAAGAGGAATTTAGCTTTCGGCTTTGGGTAATCAATACTATGGGTAAGTAAACTGTTTAATTTCACTTCTATTATTATTATTATTATTATTATTATTATTATTATTATTATTATTATTTTTATCTTCCATAGTTGAGTTCATGAAACCGCAAGGATTATTCATTGAGGCATCTAGTAATTTTTGGGCTTTGTGTGAAGGACATTCTAGTATATCAAACCTGAGTCATGGGAAATAATGATGGAAGAACAAGTGTTGTGTGGTTGCATGATTCTCATTGTGGAAGAGATGTGGCATTATCTTTTGTGTGTTTTGTTGATAGTGGACTGGTGCCCTTGTTTGGTATAGGTCTAGATATAATGTTTAAGGTTCAAACATTCATGTGTAAAACATTAATTTTGTGCAGAACCATAGAGTTTAAAAATCAAGAAACCATATCAAACGGATGAATTTTAATATGAAATTTTTACAGTAGATCAATTACATATTGAATTGCATATCTGAATTTTTTCATAATTTTTGGGAGTCAAAATCCATATAAGTTGAGGTGTTCAAATCTGTCCAGGAAACCAGTAAACAGTAAATTCGGGATTGTTGTTCTCTTTGGGTATAAATTCAAAAATTATCAAATTAGTGTCATTAGTACCGGTTACGAGACTAGTTTCGTATGTTTTTGGCCTTGCATTGATTGCTCGTGTATATTAAGAGAACCGTCAATTTCTTTAAAGTGCTGCAGAAAACAACCTGTTTGGATATAATAAATTGTAGAAAATTATTTTGATAAGCAAATCAAGTGAAACCAATTGGGTTTGAAACTTAGGATATATTAGATCATATCTGGAGGTTATTGGAATTTTTTGAATAGCGTGGAGTGGGTTTTGTAATTTTCAATGTTAGCGAATAGATTGGGAAAACTTGTTTAAAACACTGTTTCATCTTAAAGTTATTTTTAGTTAAGTTTCGATCGGAATCTGTCTTGGGTGATTTTAGACCTTGAAGAATATGAACTTAGGTAATATTTAAGAGTAACGGTGAGTTGGGTTGAGCCGTGTTAGTGCGTTTTAGTTTGAGGTTACTTAGTTCCTATTTTTTTTATTATTTTTAAATTAGTTGTGACGCGTAGTTTTTATACTTGGTTCAGGCCACTAGTTGGACTTTTACACTCTATTCGAGGATTATATTATTGCGTTTCAGGTGAGTAGTTTCATGCTACATATTTTTATAAATGTTCCCCTACCCTGAACTGTTGGAAAAATTAAATTGTTGTTTCATGATTAAACTGTTTTGATAAATTATTATATTATCAATTGAATCAAATTATTTCTGAAACATGTGTGAACTTGGCATACTGTAAACTATTTGTTTTGGTCTCATGTTTATAATGATGAACTACCATGTTTTACGAAACTGATGTGTATTGATTATTGGGAAGATTATTTGTTTTTATTGGTACCCAGAAAATTATTGGTGTTCATGTTATAATCTGTTTTAAGTGGAAAATGTTGTTTATCATGTTCTTGCGAGACATGAGTATTTTAAGTGTTGAACCGTGGAACCTTCTTTTTGAAACAGATTGTATTTACCAAACTGTGTGCCAATCTAGTTTCTGTGATATATATCTTATTTTGGAATTGAACCTTGTTTTCAAAACTGTATTTACTATCCATGTTACTACTCACTGAGCAATCAGCTGACTTAGTTGTTTACCATTTCCAGGTGTTAGAAGGACTTAGAGTGGACTCATGGCGTAGCGGGGACTCAATTGCATGGACCTCTAGGGCATTCTTTTAGTTTAGAGTATTATGTCAAGTTTGTGCATATTTATATTTATTCTTATCGAGGTTCATTTAGGATTATTTTTGATATGTAGGTTGTTTATATCCCATAAGTTTGGATGATTTTTTATTACGATTGATTTTGCCGTTTATAATTGTGACACGTCTGGATTGAGTTTTGGTTATTTATTATTGGACTATTGTTTAATTGTTCAAGGTGAAATTGAATGCGTGTTTAGGCTTACGTGTGCCTTGGGCTAAGTCCCTGTGGGCCACGGCCGGTCATGCCCGGATTTGGGGTGTGACAAGCAAGCTACCGAGTTGCAACAGCCCAATTAAAAGGGATGGTTGTCCAAACAGATCAACCTAACAGCAAAACCTTAGCAATAGCAACCAATTGAACCAAGTAGAACCAACAGGCTATCAGCAACAGTAGCACACATATCAACCATCAGTAGCCCATCTTCAGCCATCATCAACCCAAACTAGCAAGCTACCAACCACCACAGAAAGCAGACAACATTCATTACAAACAGCCAGCCTTCATCACAAAAGTCACAAAATGTAACATGAAGTACAGCAGAATAGAACAACAGATTGAGCAGAGCAGGTGAACAGCAGAGTAGAACAGCAAAATGAGCAGAGCAAAACATCAGCAAATTAATTAATCCTTCAAATGCAACTTCTGATCTGGTTCGAGTTGGGTACAAAGTCATTGATGGAGTAGGAATTCCCAACTGAATAATACTTCAACCAGATTGTAACTTTAATCTTGATGAGTTCATAGAGCTCCATGAAGTTAGGATGAGCACTATTAAACACATAATCATTCCTAAGCTTCCAAATAGACCACATAGCAGCAAGTGGGATGGCATTCCATATTTGAAGTTCTTTCTTCCTTATTTTAGTGCCAGACCACAAAACAAATAAGTTCACCATAGAACCTGGGCATACCCAACATAAACCCCCACCAATCTATGATGTTAGACCAAATTTGCCAGGTAAAGGGACAATGAAGCAAAACATGGTTAATGGTCTCAGGATCTGCTTTACAAAAAATACACTGAGTGGCAACCTCCCCTCTAAGGATACCAATACTATGAAGGAAAATGGATGCTTTGATTCAGCCTTTCCAAGCCGGCCATGAAAAAAATTGGACTTTTGGTGGTGTGATATTATTCCAAATGAATTTAGGAAAAGACAAATCTGAGCCTCTATTGGGCTGCAGCCAACAAAATAACTCACTAGATTTGAAGACACCCTGACTGGAACCTTTCCATCTCATGCTATCTGTAGACGTCCCCGAATGTCCCGGGAGGGAAATCCCCCGTTCTGTTCATTTGGGCTCACTACAGGTCGGACTCAAATTGTCACGGTTCTTAATCTGATCTCACAATGTGCGATGTGAGATTGATAAATCACCAAAGAGTCCAAATCCGGCAAATCGTTTTGAAAAACAGATTTTTTTAGAAAGAAGTGCCAAACATGGACTGCCTTGCCAGATACAGAGTCGCCACCTAAATATTTATTTTAGGGGATTTAGAAAACCCTGACTCGTGCCTAAGGCCACATGTCCATCATCACCAAAGTTGTCTCGGCTCGGGAACTTGGGTACGATTGGGGAAGGTTAGCTATGAGCACCCCCGCTCGTCCGATCAAAGATCGGCCTCTACTAACCATGATATCTAGTTTTGAAAATATTATGCATTCTTATTCCGGTTATTTAGCTAATCTTACTATGTGATGCGCACAACACAAAAGTATAGACTAGATCGCCTAAGTTGGAACAAAACATCGCATATCCGTTTGTTTTGAAAATGGATTTGAAGTTTGCTACTCGCAAGTAGGCTAAAAAACATGGGTTTCGACGAATTATTCCAATTCAAGCAACCCAGCCT